CCCCAGAGCTGCTGGAACTGAGTGAGTGTGAGCATCAGCTGGAACTGAGTGAGTGTGAGCATCAGCCTGAACTGAGTGAGTGTGAGCACCAGCTGGAACCGAGTGTGAGCACCAGCTGGAACTGAGTGTGAGCATCAGCCTGAACTGAGTGAGTGTGAGCATCAGCTGGAACCGAGTGTGAGCACCAGCTGGAACTGAGTGTGAGCACCAGCCTGAGCTGAGTGTGAGCACCAGCCTGAACTGAGTGTGAGCATCAGCCTGAACTGAGTGTGAGCATCAGCCTGAACTGAGTGTGAGCACCAGCCTGAGCTGAGTGTGAGCACCAGCTGGAACTGAGTGTGAGCACCAGCCTGAGCTGAGTGTGAGCATCAGCCTGAGCTGAGTGTGAGCATCAGCCTGAACTGAGTGAGTGTGAGCATCAGCTGGAACTGAGTGTGAGCATCAGCCTGAACTGAGTGTGAGCGTCAGCCTGAACTGAGTGTGAGCGTCAGCCTGAGCTGAGTGTGAGCATCAGCTGGAACTGAGTGTGAGCATCAGCCTGAACTGAGTGTGAGCGTCAGCCTGAACTGAGTGTGAGCGTCAGCCTGAACTGAGTGAGTGTGAGCATCAGCCTGAGCTGAGTGAGTGTGAGCATCAGCCTGAGCTGAGTGAGTGTGAGCACCAGCCTGAGCTGAGTGAGTGTGAGCACCAGCCTGAGCTGAGTGAGTGTGAGCATCAGCTGGAACTGAGTGTGAGCACCAGCCTGAACTGAGTGTGAGCATCAGCCTGAGCTGAGTGTGAGCACCAGCCTGAGCTGAGTGTGAGCACCAGCCTGAGCTGAGTGTGAGCACCAGCTTCCCCCACGGAGCTGCTCCTGCTCAGCAGCCAAGGGCCAGGCAGGATTTGGCCCTTCCACATTCAAGCTTTTCAACAGCCTTGAGAAACGTGGCCAGGGAAGAAAAATAAAAGGAGAGTTTGAGTCTGAGCGCTGGTTTTCGTCCACAAAGGTAAGAGTGCTCCATGCTCTTGGAGGAAAGCCTGGTGAGCTCTGTGGAGCAGAGAAGGGCCAGGCATGAGGACAGGGCAAAATTCCTCCCAAATTCCCAGTCCATGTCATTGGGACAGCATCACCCAGCTGACAGGAAAGGGGATGAGACAAGGCACAACCACAGGATACAGCAGCAAACCACCACTGAGGATGCTGAGAAAGCCCTCAAAGCTTTAGAGGCCACCAGGAGTGAGACTGCAGCTTCCCCTGGCTCTGTCCCACTCCTAGTTTGGTTATCTGGGGACACCACACTGCATAGATTTCACACTACTCATGCCAGCCTCCTCATCCTCACTCAGCTCCTCGGGCTGCCCACAGGACATTCCCACATTCCAAGGGCATGGTCACCCTTCCATGAGACAGCACAGGGAAAAGTCATCCCTGACACCCTTGTGAAGGCAAACAACCAGGATGATCCACAAGGGCAGAAACACCTCCCAAAATCCAGGGGAATAACTCAGCTGCTCAAGGGGACACCGGGCCAGGGGCCACCGAGCTCTGCTCCAGCTGGGACCACAAAACAACATCCATGGGGCACGTGCTCCTCAGAAATACCTCCAGCTCATAAATGTAAGGCACTAAAGAAGCTGCAGATTGGCAGCTCTGTCCTCTTGCCATTCAAACACTCCATAATCAGCTCCAGATAAGCACAGCGGGGCTGGGCTGCACCAAGAATGAAACCACAAATGGCCCCAGGAACAGAGAGGACACCTACACCACCACATCACAAATTCCACATCAAAAACAGAACAGCACCTTCACTTTTTGAACGTGGTTCTCCTCAGATTTGTTTTCAAACACCTGTAGGGCCTATTAGCCAGATTCCACCACTCACTGTTAATTACTTTCACAACCCAGCTACCACAAATGAGGTCTTCACTTTGTTTCAAGCTTTGCCATCTTGTTCACTGGGTTTGCAAAATAAATGTATGCTGCACATTTTGTTTAAACCCTCCATTTTCAGGGATACACAGGGGAAAGGAATGGAAGTCCTGAGAGAACATAACCCAGCTTTCCCAAAAATCTAACCCACCCAAACAGCATGCTGTTGAATGAATATATATAATTTTGGATGGTGATCCAGAACAACTATTTAAACCTATATAACAATGGAAATGTTCCTGGTAGGCAGAAATGGAGCTGGGATTCAATGGCATTGCTATTAACACAGAGAAAACATTGCAGCTGTAACAAAATGGAACATCCTGAAGCTTGCCCAAGGGAGAGAAAACCCAATCTGGATTTTGTAGGAAAAAGCTTTCTTTTAGGGCTTCTGCTCTAGAGTAACAAACACAATACTATAAAGAGGTCCTGCGTGAAGTCCTTTAAAGGAAAATCCAGTCTGTTTCTAGTATGGCTTTGTTTTGGGTCTTTTCTGAATAGACATTCATTTATCAGAGACTTGGCCAGACCAGAGAAATGACAGTCTGCTCCTCTGTCTCTCACAATGATTATTTTTAAACTTTCCTCTTGGACTTTGCCTGCTCAGATTTGCAGGGTGGCCCTGGAGCCCTGGCTGGCAGCATCCCTGAGCTGGGATCACTTCACACAGGACTCTGTGGGAAATGCACTGCAAATGTCACCTCAGCCACAGCCTGGAGGATGGAGTCCCCTTTTCCCTTGGAAAATGGGCTGCCATGAGCCAGAGCATCCTGCAACAAACACCTGCACAAGGATCGTTCCTCAATGCCCCTGCCAGGCAGTGCCCATGAAGAAAAGCTTAAAAACACACGTGGAGTTTGAGGGCACAGGGCTGTACCTGTACCCAGCTACCCAAACCCTGCCCAGCACCTTGCTGGGTGCTTGCCCTGCAATTTGGGGAAACGTTGTGCCTCCTGCTCCACAGCAGAGCTGCAAAACAACCAACTTTTTGTCTCAGGCATTGCAATTCTTGTTGTATCAATTACCCAGGTGAAAAGCAAACCACAGCAGCCCGAATAGAGGCAGCCCTCCCTGCTGCAGGTGCAACAAGGGCTTGGAAACACTGCCTTGATCTCACTTTTCTGGGAAAGTGGAATTCATAACTCTCTGCTGTGGCCTCACCTTGAGCAGCACAATCACACCTTTGTCCAGCAAAGGGAAACCTGTGGCTGGGGCAGAGGAGCCCGAGCAGGGCAGGTCATCACAGAGGCAGCAGGGGGAAAAGGCAGCGTGGTCCTGCTGCCTCCCCAGGGACAGGAGAGCTGCCTCAGGGCTGGGGCAGAGCACATCTGTGTGATGGGAGAAGGCAGAGGGCAAAGGTTTTTACACGGACACTCGGTGGTCGCCTTGGATTCACGCTGTGCCAGCAGCCACTGCCTACAAATGATTCAGCCATGATTTGCTGCCTCTCTTTCTCTTTGCAGGAGGAAAAAAAGGGAAAGAAAAAAAAAAAAAGCTTTGGTTTCATATAATTAACTGGCTTTGTGAATCTGCCCGGTTCTATCGATTCCTCCAGCAAGGCGAGCGCTCCCATTGACTCCAGCGCTGCCGGCCCCTCCCTGGCTCAGCCCTGTGCAGCCACGCTGGCTCCCGCTGCTGGGTTTGGGTCCAAGCCCGGGGCAGGGGAAGGCTGGAGCAGAGGGATGGGATGGGCTGGGAAGGCTGGAGCAGAGGGACGGGATGGGATGGGCTGGGGAGTCCGGGGCTCACAGCTGTCACCGCTCCCGCAGCCCCTGCTCCCCATCCCCACCCACAGCCCCTCCACCCAGCTCCCTGCTCGGCAAACATCGCCGGCCCGGCTTTGCAGCCTGGCAGGGATTATTTGTGCTCTGCCCCAGCTCCAGCCGGCTCCGCGACGGGCGGAGGGCGAGCGGGGAGAGCGCAGAGCGTGTGCGGCACCGGGTGCGCGTCCCTGCCGTGGGGACACTGCTCCCGAGGGGCACGGCAGGGCTGCAGGCACAGCAGAGCCATCCCAGAGCCAGCCCAGCCCGGCTCGTCACGGGACACGAAGCCCCGGAGCCGCCAAGACAAACAGCAGCGCACGGAGCTCCGCACGGCTCCGGAGCCGCACGGCGATGAGTAAGGCTGCGAGGGACAGGATGGCAGGAACAGCGCACATCTGGAACCGGTTCCAGGCTCTGCCAGGGCTGGCAAAGCTCCAGGCAGGGCAGCAGGAAGAAGGGGAGATAAGGGAGGTGGGTGGCAGCGGCCACGCCGCATCCCTGATGCGAGGAGAGACCCCGCTGCCCTCACTTTCCTCCAATTGTTGCTCAATGCCACCAAACAGCCGAGGGGACCTGGAGAAGCCCTTGATCTCCCCAGAGCTCTGAAAGCCTGGCTCTTGTGGCAACTGGCTCCAGGCAGAGCGAAGAGCACATCTGCACAGCCCAGATGTGCCACGAGCAGTGAGTGTGTCACTGGGTCACCCCGGGCTACGGCAACACGGGAGGGAAGAACATTTCGGGCTTTGTTTTACGCTGTTGCCAGGATTCACCCACGAGCTCGCCGCGGGTGTGCCTGGAAACACACCAAAGTTTAAATCATAAAAAAAAAAAAAATTAAAAAAAAAAAACAAACACCTTCAAAACCAGACAAACCCGCAATAGTTTGGAGCACGCAGGAAGGCAGGGGACACGAGGGATCCTTCCTAGGGACCGAGCACTACCCAGGCACCGAAAGCAGCAGCCGGGCGGTCCCTTTGCCCCGGGACTCCGCCACCAACAGGTCCCACGGCCCCGGCTGCAGGAGCGGGGCCGCTTCCCCGCGGTGCCCGTGGCCGCTGCCCGGTGCGCGCAACCCCCGCCCGCATCCCCGGGCATCGCCCGGGGCCGGGGGCAGCGGCGGGGCATGCCCAGGCTGGCAGGGGCACCGCGGGAGCCCTGGGCACAGCCGGGAGCGGCACCCCCGGCACAGGCACCCCGGCAGCGCTGCCGCCCTCTTTCTCTTTCTCCTCCTCCTCCTCCTCGTCCGTCCTCCCTTCCCGGAGCTCCGCGCGGGAGCGGGGCCGGCAGCGCCCGGCCTTTGTTCGCCCAGGGCCGGGCTGGGCACTCACATAGTGCTTGTTGGGGATGCGCCGCTTCTGCACGTCCAGCACCTTCACCTCGGCGATGCTCCGCCTGGGCATCGCCGCTGCCGTGCCCCTCGGGGAGCGGGGACGCTCTGGCGCTCGCCGCCGGCACCGGAGGCTGCAGCGCGGCCGAGCCTCCCCGCGCCGCCCGCTCCGGGGGCGGGAGGCGGCCCCGGCCCGGCCCGGCCTATCCCGGCCGGAGGGGCGGCCCCACCGCCGCCTGCTTAAAGGGCCGGCCGGCCCCAGCCTGCCCGGGGTGTCCGCTCCGCACCCAGCCCGGCGCTGCGGCTGCGACACGGCTCGGAGAGCGCGGTGCCCCTCCCGGGAACGGGTCCCGGTTTGTCCCCCTTACCCGAGCGTGGTTCTGCCCTTGTCCCATCACTGCAGTGCCCTCAGGGTGGTTCTGCTCTTGTCCCATCACAGCAGTGCCCTCAGGTGTTTCCGATGTTGTCCCATCGCAGCAGTGCCCGTGGGTGTCTCTGCCCTTGTCCCATCACAGCAGTGCCCGCGGGTGTCTCTGCCCTTGTCCCATCGCAGCAGTGCCCTCAGGGTGGTTCTGCTCTTGTCCCATCACTGCAGTGCCCTCAGGGTGGTTCTGCTCTTGTCCCATCACAGCAGTGCCCGCGGGTGTCTCTGCCCTTGTCCCATCACAGCAGTGTCCCCGGGGTGGTTCTGCCCTTGTCCCATCGCAGCAGTGCCCTCAGGTGGTTCTGCCCTTGTCCCCTCGCAGCAGTGCCCGTGGGTGGTTCTGCCCTTGTCCCATCACAGCAGTGCCCCCGGGGTGTCTCTGCCCTTGTCCCATCACAGCAGTGCCCGTGGGTGGTTCTGTTGTTGTCCCATCGCAGCAGTGCCCTCAGGTGGTTCTGCCCTTGTCCCATCACAGCAGTGCCCGCGAGTGTCTCTGCCCTTGTCCCATCGCAGCAGTGCCCGTGGGTGGCCGGCAGCAGCCATGTCCCTCCAGGAGGCAGGGAATGAGCAGGGAAGGGCTGTCCTGCTCAGGCCAGAGCTGCCCTGCCCGGGACAGGCCGCATTCCTGCTCACAAGGGCGTGCAGTGACAGGAGCAGGGAATGGCTCCTGTCAGAGCAGGCTGAGATTAGATAGCAGGAAGGAATTCTTCACCGTGAGCGTGGTGAGGCCCAGCCCAGGTTGTCCAGGGAAGTTCCATTCCTGGCAGCGTCCAAGGCCAGGTTGAACGGGGCTTGGAGCAGCCTGGGATCGTGGAAGGTGTCCCTGCCCATGGAATGGGATGATCTTTAAGGTCCCTTCCAGCCCCACCGACCCATGATTCTACCCCTGCCAGCCAGGAGCTGACCCCCTGCATCCACCTCTCCTCCTGGCAGCCCCACTCTGTGCCCACGGTGCCAGGAGAGAGCCAGGGCAGTGCCCAGGCCTTTCTCTGCACCAGCACTTACCCCTGGCCTCCGTGCTCCCAGCAGCTCCTCAACACGTGGCATAACCACAGCTCTCTCCCCCGCTGGGCTTTTAATTACATTATAAAGTTACTCAAGGCTTACACTGGCAGGTCATTAGTTTTCATATGAATTTAATTTAATCATAAACAACTCATCTCACTCCTTAACGGCTCCTTAAATGTGGCTCTTTTTTAATACTATTAACTTTGCTACAGCCACCCCAGAGAATAGATGGAGGTGCAGGCACTTTGCCAGGGCTTTATTGCCCCTCCCCAAGGGCTCGCCTTCATCCTCCTCCCCCTCAGCAAAGCCCCCAGCCCCTGCAGAGGTGGCTGCAGAAGCGTTGCTGGGCTGTCTGGAGGGGACATCAGGCCACTGGTCACCTCCCTGGTGCCTGCTGGGGTGCAGACCCAGCCCTGGGTTCCTGCACATCACCCCCACTCCTGCCCCAGTCACCACTGCTCGGTCAGATGTGCTCTGAGCAGAAGTGGGGATGAGCTGTGGAATCCTCCCTTCCTTCTGTCCTTGTGACATTCCTGTGGGGTGGAAGTGCTCATGGAGAGCCTGGGACAGCACCAACATCTGCAACTGCAGCTCCTGGGTTGTGTGGAGTGTCCAGGCTGGAGCAGAGGAAGTTTTACCAGTTCAAAAGCCCTGAGAGATGCACAAATCCTCCAGAGCATGGTGAGGAAAACACCCAAACCAGCTGCTAAGGGAGGGAGTGCACACTGAGATGTGGAGCAATGGAGAAGGCTGATTGAGAGAGGAATGAAACAATTTCTGGTCTTCACATGCTGAAGAGAAGAATTAAGGTAGAGAAGCATTTAAGCATCAGCATTGTCTTCTCCCTGGGCCTGCTGAAGGGATTCCATCACTCCTCACAGCTAATGAGCACCCGGGAACCAGCAGGGCTTGGAGAGAATCTCAGCTCAGGCTGCAAAATGGCTCCAGTGCTTAATTAACAAGTGTAATGAGGGCTGTAGAGAGGAGTGGGGAGTGGCTTTGCATGCTGACCAGATCACCTCCCCTGGGAGATAACTCTGGGAATCGACTGGGGAGAGGCAGAGCCTGCCTGGGGCTCTGCTGTGCCCTGGACATTTCATTCCTCAAGGAATCTGCCCGGGGTTTGTAAGGGAGCCCAAATGAGGGCTCTGTGAGCGGCCTGGGAGTCCTGTGCTTGCCCACACCTCTGGGGATGCTGCTGCAGGACAGCAGAGATGTCCCACAGAAAGGTTGAGTGCTGCAGGTGCAGCCGAGGGGAGTTTCAGGGTGAACATTCATCCCCTGCTGCCCTCACCACAGGCTGAAGCTTCATGAAGCCAAATAAAATAAAATAACTGTGCTAAAATAACTACACAGGAGAGGTCAGGACCTACACAAGAGTCAGGCTCGGGCGCTCTCCCTCGTGCCTGTCAGGATCTGAGCAATTTAAAACGACTTCTGAAAACCATCCCTCAGCTCGGATGGACAAATGGGTTTCTGCACAGCTGTGAGTGGGCTCCAGCTGTTTGGGCACAGCTGGGCAGTCCCTGAGGTCTGCCTGGTGTCAGGGAGTGTTAGGAAAATTAATCCACAAACACCAGAGGTTTATGTCCAAAACAGAGACAGAGGAGTCCTTTCTGGCTTTATTGGAATTGAGGGAGAGGCCATGGGGCATTCCCCTGGGATGTCTCGAATTTTTGGAGGATGGAGCCTCCTTTTTATCCCAATTTCCTGGCTGCATTTCCCTTCTCTCTTTCCCTATTGGCTGAGGTACTTGAGAGGTACAGACTTCCCAAAACGCCTGATACCAGAGATTTCCCAAAGATTTCCCTCTAATGTATAATCCTCCCTTTTAATTTTTAATTCTTATGGAATTTTAGGGGTTTTTCTTCCCCATCGTTCCCTTCATCTCTCAATGTCTAATTTCATTTATCAGCAAACCTAAAGTTTATTTGTAAAAGCAAATACCTTTTTCCATTCATCAATCAGCAGAATCCTTCCCATTGTTTCTTTTATTTTCCAGAGCTGGTTTTATCCACCAGCAGACCCACAGCTTGTTTGCAAAGACAAATCCCCTATTCCTCTCAGGAGGGAGTGGAATGAGAAGGCAGAGCCCCAGCACCAGCCCTGACTGCAGAGGGAACACTGACTGCAGCCATCCTGGCACGAAGAGCCTCTGCTGCTCTCTTGGCCATTTCAGAACTGGGGGATTCTGCTAGGAACCTGAATGTCCTGGTCCTCCCTGAGTACAGAACAAATGCATCCATCCATCCATCCATCCATCCATCCATCCATCCATCCATCCATCCATCCATCCTCCCTGAGCCACCTCACAAAAATCATCCAAAATGATGCTCCTACCCCCACAGAGGACACATCCCTGCAGCTGGAGCCCAGCCCAGCAGAGATTTCCCATTTTTCCAGATCTCTCTGATTCTCAGCAGTCAGCAGGAATGATTTTCCACTGCTGTGAGCCCTGAATTGCAGGGTTTAGGTGCCAGCCACTGGCAGCAGGCAGCACCCATCCTGCCCAGCGAGAGCGGAACCCTAAAATGAGGGAGCAGAGGGAAACTCCTGAGGACCACCCTGGAAAAGTACTGAAAGCCCGAGGAGAGGGCAGAGATCTGGTGGAAGGGATGTCCCAGAGAGTGCCAGATGCAGGGAAAGAGCTGGAGAGCCCTTCAGGAGCTCCAGGGTGATGCCATCTAGTGAGCGAGAGGAAAAGCAGCGAGAGGAAGAGCAGCGAGCATCCAGCTCCTGCCAGCCTGGAATCGGGTCCGGAGCAGCGCAGGATGGGCTGCCAGGGCAAACTGCCCCCAAAATCCAGCCCCATCCCAGGCTGGAGAGCAGCAAGGCAGGGCCAGCCCCTCCAGGGAGGCTTGGACTGCTCAGGCTGGGGGAGTTTGGTTGGAGAATAAAGCAGTGGCCACTGGAGCAGGAGCACACAGCAGCGCTTGGCTGCAGAGGACTCTCAAGGGGTCCTGCTGGGAGCCAGGGAGCAGGGATGCAGCCATGGGAGGAGAGAACTCAGGCACAAGCCCCAGGACCCTCCCTGCCTGCCCTGCTTTCCTTCCCCCAGGGAGTTCCAGCATCAGCAGCTGCCAAAGCCCTTGGGCGGCCCAGAGGAGTTTGGAGCCCAGATGTGACAGGACCTGACCCGCAGGGGAGGCTGCAGCTGCTGCAGCACCAGGAACTGCTCAGGGCTGTCAGCTCTGGTTTGAAAAATGAAGGAATATTTTTACTTTTGCTCTGTCTTCAGCCTAGCACCCAGAGGAAATGGTAGTTAACAGTTATTTCTGGAATATACAGTACTTATATATATATATACTTATATATGTGTTAAATCCTCGTGGTTGAAACTCCCCTCAGGCACTGCCAAGGACATGCAGATGAAGTTAAATATTCCCAGGAGATCTCCTGCTTCCCTGGGATACACTGAGACCAGTGCAGTGCTGCTATACATAAACAAAATGATTAATTATGTCTCCTCAGCTACTCCATTCCTTACCAGGTTGTGGAGCAGGGAGACAGGAACCCTCAGGCTTTGCTCATCCTCCTCTCTCTGCTCATTTAAAACCTCACCAGCACCACCTCACACTCCCAATTCCATCTCATTTCCAGCACCTCACCTGAACCCGGGTGCTGCACTTACCTGGGCTGGA